ATGCATTACGCAAATCGGATGTAAGTTCATGCAGCAGTTTTGTCCCCATTTTAGGTATTCAGTAAAAAAAATATGTATCAAAAAAATTAATACGCCAATGGCTACAGAAAAAAGTTAATTTGCCTTCGTTGTAATAGAATAAAAGACTTATAATTGTTTTGATGTCGAAATAAAGTTTGAGGGTTATTATATACAAGGAAACGAAGTAATATAGCAGTAAATGTAAAATGCCATATAAAGTAATGTCTCCTGCTTTGCCTTAGCCCTAGTTTTAAACACATTTACATCTACATAGAATTATCTGTATTATTGGATATTATCATTAGATTATAAATCTTCGGCTGAGAAGAAGAGGATGGAAGTAAGTTACCAACTGCCATATGAGTGTGCAAAGCGCGCATAGCGTCGGTATCACATAATCTAGGTTTCCATGAAAAAAATTTAGAAGCTTGCGGGCTTGGTGGGGACCAGTCATCACATATAGTTTATTATGACGCGACCCCACAGAAATACAGATGGATTATTTTTCAAGGGAAACTAATAACCGAGAAAATCTCTTGAAAAATGCTATTTATCAGGTCGCAAGCCAAATAATATAGAATAACTAACATTTGTTTATTTATCAAGTGCTAAAACTAAGATCGACCTTATGGTATCCGCTTACTAAACAACCCTTTGAATGTCGTTGATCTATACGCGCATAAACAGCAGTATAATGCCCAGTAGTCGAAAGCGACGAAGCCAACCTGATAAAAGCGCAGTGGATTGCCTGCCTACCTGCTACAGTATAATTCGATTTTTATATTATTTATATTATTCTTCCAATCAAACAAATCGTCTGATTTTGCCTTCATTTTGATATTCTCTTATGAAGAGTAATGCAAATAATTGCTTTACTTCATTGACATAGATAATTAAATAAACCAAAAAACAGTGATATCTCAAAACGACCCAATAGATAAACTATCAAGCTAATTTAACAGCGCCTAGAGATTAAATGAATTAAAAATCAACAGGAGAAAACCTTTTACCTGTCTAATTAGGAAGTTTAGGCTAGACATACTCGATTTAACCTAGTGCACAATATATAAATAAGTTTAGGCACATAAAAGGGACCCTTATACCTAATATTAATAGTATGCATATATATTATGGTAATAAATTTTTTATTTTTTTATTTATGGCGCGCGGTTTTCGGATTACAGCTTAGACGATGGATGACGACGAGGACTTAGATGCCCCGGACTCTAGCGTTAAGTACAAGAGACCAGCTACTCATGCTGAAAAGGGTGCTGCGGATCTCGAACGCGTTACTGATTATTTTGAAGAAAAAGAGCTCTCTGTTGACCTGAGCTCTCTAAAGGCTGTGTCAGTGGAATCCGAGATTGAAAAAAAAATGCAAAAGGAAAGACAGCTTCTCAGGGTGAAAGTAAAGTCCGAAGATATCGAAATTATAGTACGTTATTTTAAAGCTTATATTTTAGCTTGTGCATCATATTTTTACTTATTACATAGGAGACTTTCCAATATTTTTGTGATCATTTCCTACTTATATGCCTAACTCTAA